CATCTTGGTTCAAGGCAAAATGCATAATGTAACTTGTGGTGAGATGCAGTTGCAGGAAGAAATGTGTGAGGCATTTTCAGAGGAAATGCCTTCTGTTAGTTCTATTGATCAGATAGCTACTACTTTAGCAAATACTCTTTCTGGTCTTTATCCTAGTGGATGGATTCAAAGTATATTACATAATTCTGGATTTTCTTTAATAACCTTGCTAATTGTTCTTTGCATACTGCTTATAGGAAGTTGATGTGTCTTTTAATGCCTGAACCAAGATGCTCGGAAACTCGGTGCTGAGATTCTCTTGTCTTCCCTACATTTTCAAAAGGAAAATCCGGATACAGTTAACAAAGAAAGGGGAATTGTTAAGGCCTAATCAATTCAGTTTGACCTGAAGTTTGGCAGAGGATACCAGATATGTTACACTCTTGTGGCTTGTCAAGGCTATTGTGTGTGCTCCTGCCCCTATGACTGGTAGTCAATGATGGGTAAGATCTTCTGGGAGAAAGTCAACCTAAGACAGGGAGTAGCTGCTTGAAGCTGTGTGCCGATGACAGGTAAGGCTTTGCTCTTGCAGAAGGCAACCTAAGACAGGCACGGTCCTTCTATCCTGGATGTGGCATATTCTGTGGTTATAATAAGAAAGGGGGAAATGTTGGGAGCTACTATTATTATGGGCACAGCCATTGCTGCATCAGGCTGTGGCAGCTTGCCTTAAGCATTGGAGAAAGAATGCTTCCACCTTAGGAGTTTCCCTGCTCTCTGCTTCTGTGGTCTGAGTTGACAGGCTATGCTTCCCTGATTAATTGGCAGTCTTGGAAACATAACTAAAGAGTTCTGTTTCAGTTTATGGGCACCGGAGTTTCTCGGCACCGTTAGCTTGGTTTCTATGTAGAAATAATGAATTATACTAGTTGCTAAGAAAAATCACAAACAGTACGCCTTATATCTAAGATATTATAAATATTATGCAACTGAATCTTGGATACTGTAAACGTTGTGTGAGTTTCGGTTGGTGAAGTAATGTATTCTTGGTGGTAACATAATGTATCCTTGGTTATTCCTTGGTTACTTTCTGTTTAGTGATGTATCTTTAGTTATTCCTTGGTTACTCCAGATCTGATTCCTATATAAGCTTGGTTTGGTTCACAATAAACATGCACTGGTACACAAGCCTCTGCATCTCCTGTGTCCTGATTTCTATCCGTCGGGGTCCCCAAGCCCTTCAGGCTTGAA